TCAAATCTATTGATTGCAAAAATCTGAGGTAATAATTGATATAAGTAGGATGAAATCAGCTCCTATGACCACAGAGCATTGGTTGGAGGCCAAGTGGGTTTTTTTTCTCTCTATCTCTCAAGAGAAGCCTTCTTGAGAGTGGGTGTTGTTGCAGCTTAGCCCTGAATGACGAGAGCCAGACACAGAAAGATTTGGAGCAAGAGTGTTCCAGGATATGGGCACACTCCTAAGGTACTAAGGTCCACTCAAAGGTCCTAAGGCTGGGACAAGGCTGGATGCCAAAGAGCTGAGAAAAGGTTGGTGGAGCTGGAAGGGAGGAAGTGAATGGGGGAAGGGTCCAAAGGCACCTCTTGGAGGAAACCTGGGCTCTCTACAAGGGCAGTGGGAAGTTGCCGAATTTAAGCAGGAAAGTGGCTTGAATCGGCTAATAGTTTAGAAAGATCCTTTTATCCGCTGCATGGTAAGAGATCACAAGAAGGCAAACATGAAAGCAGAGAGGCTGATAAGGAAGTTCTGGAAATGCCCTGGTGGTGGCTGGAGCCAGGGCAGTGGAGGAGGCTGTGGTGAGAGGTGGCTGGGTTCTGGAGAGATGTCCAAGCAGAAGTGACAGGGCTTGCTGATCGATTGGGTTGGTGGAAGGGAAATGAAGGAATTGAGTTTGACTCCCACGTCCTCAGCTGCTAGAAGAATGGTAGTGTCATCTCCTGAGATGGGGAAGATTTGGCTCAGAAAGGGTGAAAGTCAAAGCTAAGCACCGAAGAAACAAATAATGCAATCAACAAATGAGCCAAGGACCTGATCAGACACTTCTCAGAAGAGGATATGCAACAAATATATTTTTAAAAATGCTCATCATCTCTAGCAATCAGAGAAATGAAAATCAAAACTACTCTGAGATATCATCTCACTCCAGTCAGAATGGCAGCTATTATGAAGACAAAGAACAATAAGTGTTGGAGAGAATGTGGGGGGAAAAGCACCCTCATACACTGCTGGTGGTGCAGCCTATATGGAAAGCAGTATGGA